GGGGGGGATATCACCCCATCGGGTTTTTCCTCCGTTCTGGCGGCTCTGGGGCAAAGTTCGGAGGCCTATCGCGGGGCCTGGGAGCAGCAGAGCAGCTGTGGATCCCTCTCGGCTGGGAACATAAGGGAGCTTGTTTTTCCCTCTGGTGCAAGTGTTCACGAAGGTAGATCCTCACGCCGACCGGTCAGCAGATGCTCCAAAGCTGCCCTAACAACGACAGCGACTGCCACTGGAAGCCGCTTCGCCACGGCACAAAGACTGATGACAGCGCCCTTGACGAAGCTTTAGACACGGCTTGGAGGCAGGCGTGCAGGTCGGAGTGCGGAGGCAAACGGGGGGGGGGGGTACTCGGCCTCGGTGCTCTGGGACATGTGGATGCTCTACGAGCTAAGGTGTCTGGGAGCGGTGAACTTCAGAGGCTGCAAACACGGATTCTCTGACGGGATTCTCACGATTGTGGTTCGGCTTTCAGAGGCGCACAGTGTATGGTCTTGGCAGGGTGGTTGAGCTCCAGGGCCATCTCCCCGACACATGTTGTTATACCTGGGCGTATCATGGCCACCAGCATTGGCAAAGTTCATGCTGTGGACGCCTTCGACATTGTTCCGAGGACTCTTTGCGGTATCGGCGATGAGGGCATCAATGTGGGACGGCGAGATTGCCAGACACCATTTCTGCAGCTCTGATGTCTACATCGACGACACCAGCTTGTCGGCGATAGGCACGAAGTCAATTGAATGCCGAAGAGCATTGTGTTTTCCGCGAGCGCGGCCGCTACCGGCCCTGGCCGCCCCACCCCCTCCCCCCTTCCCAGGTAACGTCACGACTCGTGACCTTCTAGCTGTCCTTGGCCATTCCTAAGGACATTACCAGACGGCGCCGTCGCGCGAAACGTGACGTGACTGGACCCCCGCCCCAACTGCCCCCAGTAGGGGAAAAGGTCTCTATGAACAGGGTTGCCCTCATCTGCTCGTGCCCAAAGCTTGGGGTTGAACTCCAAGCGAGGCTCGGTTCCTTAAGCAAGCTACGTGTTGTTCTGTCAACCTGGGCTGAGATGACGCGGCGGAGACCGCTTTCAGTAGAGGCAAGAGAGGTAAGAAGAAGAAGGCGAAGGATAATAACAAGAAACATTATAATAACAATATAATATATAATTGTTGACTACAAAGAAAAAGACGGCCAAAAGAGAGAACCGTAAAACTAGGTTATGTCGAAAGCTTCGTCGCCTTCAGACGCTCAAACATAGCTTCGGTCGTAAAGACATAATTTCTGTTCACCAGCGGACCGCTGCTAGATCTGATTTACGGCTCTGAGATTGACGGAATGACGGACTGTGAGGTCCACACTTTGCGTAGGCAACGGGCCAGTGTTCTAAAGCCCAGTTCAGGGAGTCAGTCTCTTACCATTCTTACTTCTCGTAAGAGGGCTCCTGTGTGGTACCAGCGCCGATTGTCAGGTATAACAAGGAGGTGTGGCTTCTTCGCTCTCGTGTGCTTCGTGTACGCTTGGACTGATTTACCCTCAGAACCTCTTGGGAAGGAGTTTCCAGGGGGCCAAGGCTAACAAATTAACCTGGAGGAAAGCGTCTTGACAAATGTCTGCTAGGATTTTGTTTATCCGGGAGGCGCATCAATTGGACGAGGATTGAGCTTACCGGTGTTGTTGAACAGCTCGGGAAGAAGGTTTCCTGTACGCGTATGTCGCCCGAGCTGATGAAGCGCCTCATTCGTGACGCCTTCCTCAGGCAGGTGGAGAGGCTGCCGTTTGGGAAGCTCGTGGAAGGAGGATCTCTGTTGCAGGCTCGGCTCGGCTCGGCTCGAATTGCTCTCTTCCAGGTTCTCAACAGTCGGTGGTCCTCGTGCTGGCGTCGGAAGAGGTAGAGTGCAAACTGCGGAGAAGGCGCGAGGAGGGGATGATGATGATGATGACGATGATGCTGATAACGATGATGATGATGATGATGATGATGATGATGATGATGATGATGCTGATGATGATGATGATGATGATGATTATTATGATAATGCTGCTGCTTCTGCTTCTGCTTCTGCTGATGCTGATGCTGATGCTTCTGCTGATGCTGCGTCTGCTGATGATGGTGATGATGCCGATGAAGATAAAGATGCTATTAATGATGATGAAGATGATGATGAGGAGAGGGGAGGAGGAGCCAGGCAAGGAGAGGGGGAATCGAAAGGTCCCAGACCTCCTCCTCCTCCTCCTCCTCCTCCTCCTCCTCCTCTCCTCCTCCCCTCCTCTCCGATCGAAGCGCTGTGCCCCTTTCGAAAAGGGGTGCCTTCGAACCTTCTGCTGCAATGCGACCTGGACCCATCACCACGCGCGCACCAGGGGCCATCAAGTCCCGCCTCTGTGCCAGCGTTGCCAGACTCATGAGGACACCCTAGTCCACAGGGTATGGGAATATCCTTCGGTGGCTAGTCGCACGGAGGAGGTGGAAGATGTGAAGCTCATCAGTGCTGCGCTGGAGGCGCGTGATACGATAAGGTCGATGGCGACATCTCAGTTTATGCTGCTGAAGTGCTTCCTCATCCTGGATATTGTTGTCCCAGACCTTTGAGTCAGAGCAACATGGACGGTAAGGCTTGTGAGACGCCATCCAGGAAACCGCGGCCAAGGGGACCACAGATGGGGGCTCTTCCCAGGAGAAAAGTTGTCTGGACGGCAGGCGTTGAAAGTCAATGATTGAAGAACTGTGCAGAGCTGGTTGGTTTTGCTTGCGACAGAAAAAGCCCCCCTAAGACGGTAAGCTGCTCAGTTGGTGATACAGTCCTGTCTGGGATCAGTCTCCTCAAACTTCGAGAGGGGGGAGTTTTCGAACTGTACTGCAGCTGGCGTCACCCTGGATAGGGGACTCCGCGTTTTTTCAGACAGTGTTTTTGCTGTGGCGGTCGGCCTTCGAGCGACAGACGACCGTGGTTCGGGGCATCGAAGTTCGTCGGGGTCTGCGGTCGAAGGTTTGCTGGGACAGTGGGGAAAATTCGAGGGGGTCCTCAAAGTTGCGGCCCACACCGCCTCCTCTTCCTCCTCCTCCTCCTCCTCCTCCTCCTCCTCCTCCTCCGCCTCCGCCTCCGCCTCCGCCTCCGTCTCCTCCCCCTCCCCCCTCCTCCTCCTCCTCCTCCTCCTCCTCCACCTCCTCCTCCTCCTCCTCCTCCTCCTCCACCTCCTTCTCCTCCTAATACGAAGAAGGAATCTCGAAGCTCGAGGGGCACAGTCGTGCTATGGTAGTGACGCGGCCGCCAGGGCTGCCAGGCTCGGTGTTCAGTCCCACCGCAGCTCCGACCCAGAGACGCCATTGCCAGGGCCGACAGGTACATCAACAATCCCCGTGGTGTGGTCCAGATTGCCGTTCCGCTGTGGCCGCGTGTGGACATGAAGGGTGTAGGGCACTCAAATCTGCGGCTGGGCCTGGAGGCACAGCGGTCCAGGCCATTACTGGGTCTGGACCTCTACGATCTGGCAATGTACTGTCTCCAATGGAGAAGGGGCGCTGATCGCCCGCCTCCCCAGACAAGTGTGTCCTGCCCCCCTGGCTTAATCCACGGCGTCTAGCAAATAGCAATCACCGTTGTCTGGCGCATCTGCCTGGAATGCCTGGAAACATGTTTGTGCAACCCCCGGGAGAAGAGGAGGGCCAAGAATGTCCAGTTCGTGCCCTCACCTTGGTCCCCGTGAGAGAGGGGGCATGTTGCCGCCACAGTCCGAAAACACTCCCCCGCATCCGCCTCGCCCAGCTCCCTCTCCTCCCCGTGTTCCTCCCCTCCACGATACCCTGCCGCCCTCACGCCTGCAAGGATCCAGCGTCCTGCAGCGTGAACGACGCTGTAACACATCTGAGAACCCTCTGCCAACCCGCCTGCAACGTCACGCCACCCTTGGAGAAGCCAAAAGGCACCGATACCGCCACTCCCCGGACCTCTCCAAGGGTACGCTCTGACCTGAATTTCGAAGCGAATCAAGCCGCGGCGACGAGGAGGGCCTCCCAGGAGGCAGAAAAAAACGAAAAGCGCCAAAGGATAGCTGCATCGATAACCGAGTGAGCACGTTTCACGGGCGCTTGCCTTGGGAACATTCGGCGGCGTGTTTGAACCGAGGGAGGGGTCCCCCCACGAACATTCGGCGCCGTCGAACAGAACCAGGGGGACTCCCACCCCTTCCCCCCCTCCCCGAATCCCCCCGGCGCCGGCTTCGGCACGCCGGCGCCAGCAACGGCGGCGGCGGCGGCTGGCAGCGCCGACGCCCACACCCACGCCCACGCCCACGCCCACACCCACGCCCAGGCCCACGCCCGCGCCCGCGCCCGCACCCACGCCCACGCCGACGCTCACGCGCGCGCACACGCCCGCGCCCGCGCCCACGTCCATGGCTAGGGAACCACGCTCCGCACTACCATGCTATAGTTCCTGGCACAGATGTTTTGACAAGCCGATGGCTGCGGACAACCTACTTCACAATCTCTCGCATATTGCTGGGACGTCTGCAAAAAAATATCCAAAATTGCCGAGAAAGGTCAAAAACTCGTCCCCAAATCATTTGTCGACTATTTGAAAACATTCCTCCTATAGAAGGACATGCCCGACTTAACGCTCGGGTGCGCGAGCGTCCGGGCCGTGCCGGGCCGCCTCGGCTCCAGCCCCTCTCGGCATCTATTGGGCCCCCGCATCGGCCCTGGCGGCCCCCGCTCTTCGCGGTCGGCGGTGTGCCTCGCTGCGGTCGTCGTCGTCGTCGTCGTCGTCGTCGTCGTCGTCGTCGTCGTCGTCGTCGTCGTCGTCGTCGTCGTCGTCGTCGTCGTCGTCGTCGTCGTCGCGCGTTCGCAGCCGGGGGCGCCCCAGGGTGGAGGGGGGGAAGGGAAGCGCCCAAGAGGGGGGCTCACACATCAGGGACCGAGACAGGTGCGCGAACGGGGGGGGGGGCCAGGAGCCAGGCAGTCTCGTGAGATGTCAGGGCTCTCGGCCATGGCATCCTGCCCCCCCTGATCACCCCCCGCTGGGCCGCCCCCCGATCGCAAGTGGCTGCACGGACCCTGTCTTGTGGGGCACACCGCCTGGGAGCCCGAAGAGCCTTCACGCTCCTGCCCCATGGCGGGTCCGCATGGTGTGAGTCCCCTTTTCCCGCAAAATCCCAGGCCCAACCACCGCAGGGTGGATGTGCTGTAGTGGTGACAGCTCACAGCCTCTCGTGGTGGACTTCTCATCGCCTTGAACCCCCACCCTGTCTCTGCCCAGATTGAGGGGCCTCGGGACGGGGCGCGGCGGCGGTCGCGGGATGCCCGCCTCGGGACCGCGACTGCGTGTCCCAATTGTTAGCCCCTTCCCAGGGTCAGATGTATCTGCACTCTCTTCAGAGGCGCGACTGCAGCGGGATGCTTCGGTGACCGTCCAGATCAGTCCCGTACCATACCTATAGGCCAAGGTGACAAGCAGAAACCACATACGTACGCGCATCTTCTGGGGCCACAGCAAAAACAATCCACTGTGCTCTGCAGCGCGAGCACTGCGACGTCCTGAAAGCGTGCGGCGACAGCAACAAAAACGGTGCCCGCTCGTTCCAGGAACTCACACGACTGCCCCTCTCGCCGCTGTGGACACCCACTTGCAGCCCACTGCCTGGCCAGACGTGCGTGCTTCTTCCCGACCCTGCCGGCCGCTGCCAGGGGACCGCTCGAGCTGGCCTGGGCTCGAGCGCGGCCTCTACCCCTGGCCTGCCACCAGCCGGAGCAGAGCGGCCTCGTCTTGGCGATAGGGCTCCCCGCTCCCCGGCCGCAGCACATCGTGCCACCAGTTCCTCGGCTCGAGCGACGCCGCGCCCGCGACCGCTGCAAGCAGCCCACCCCACACGCGCAGGGGCCAGAACCACGTGAGCCAAGAGTGAAAAGTCTGCGTCCTGCCAGCAACAAGGCCCCAGTTCAGGGCGCCAGCAACGTTCCTCTGCTTGAGGGCCGGCAGGACGGTATCGAACCGACTGCCGCACCACCATGGGCGCGCCAGGTACTCCGTCAAAAAGACCTGCCGACCTACCCCGTACCGCACCTGCATTCGCTCAGCCTCAGCGGCAGTCGATCTTCCCGAGGAGTAGATGTGGAAGGAACCAATGTCTGAATGCCGCAGCGCCAGCTCGCAGAAACGGCCTGTCATCATCTCCCACTCGCAAATAGTGACAGGCTGGCTGGGCGCAACAGACCGAACCCAGAGCACGGTGCTCGCCAGCAGCGCAAAACGCAAATCTAGATCGAACGAACTGGTCGTCCACCAGGTGACGTGCGGATAAGGAGTCTGGGAAGACAGCCTCTGCTCTTCGTGCTCGGCAACGATTTGGTGAACATCTCCGCGCGCGGATCGGCCTGCCCCCCCGCTTCTTGACTTCCGCCGCAGTACACCAGCACAGACGCGCCAGGCAAACCCGCGGAGGGAATCCGCAATGTACATTAGCATTCTGCGAGGATTGCTTAGGAACGTCGCCATCTCCAGCACCCAATTGTCAGCCTCGTTGTACAAGTCCCAGCTGTGGATGCGCGGGTCTGTCCGAAATCTGCGGACCACGGTCTGCACATAATGGCGCAAGTCGTCCTGGTGGAGCCGGCTCCTGTCGTGCCAGGCACGGAGCGTCTCCAGCAGCGGGCTCTGGACCCAGCAAGAATTGTGAACTCCAATCAGTGGGCGTCCGACTCTCCGCAACTTGCCGTCGGCGCCCTGCTCTTCCACCTCGCATGGGGACGAAGGCCGCCAGCAACCATCCCAGATCACGAACATGACCTGGATGCCGTGACTGTCTGCGATCTGCAGAAACTGCTCCACTCGGTCGAGGAAGCCACAGGGGTCCTCAAAGAAAGGCTGTTCGTGAAGGAACACTCGCACGAGGCTCATGCCAAGCTTCTCCCGGGCCCAGCCCAGCTCCACGTCGTTCAAGGCTGGGTTGAAGCTGTCTCTCCGCCACATATCCAGCTGGTTAGACGCATCAGACGGGACGTAATTACAGCCAACGCGGAAGCCTAAACTCGGCTGCGCTGTTCGACTCATTGCAGTGTCCGTGCCACCGTAATGGAAAGAACGGGCAAAACCAATTGAACTTGCTTGCGCCAGAACAGCTACGGAATATACTGCCGCGTCTGGTTGCCAGATCAACGGATCTGACATGAGATTAAGGCTGAGCCCGACGGCTGATGGCTGCCATCAACTCTACGGCAGGAACTGGTCATTGCCTCGGTGGAAGCTGATGCTTATCCCAGCCAGCCATTATCGGAAGAACGCCTGCTTTCGGACAGGTGTGGGCAGTTCGGTCGCGAGAGATGGCCTGGCCATGGGAATCCGACCAACTCAATGAGCAGGACAGGCTTGAGGTATAGAGGCGGGGTGCAGACACTGCTGGAATTAGAAGAGAGGGGCCTACAGCCTACAGCCAGGCAAGCGTATACTTCAACACAGGGTGAAGACACATCGTTGGATTCATCTGCACACGATGACTTTGCTCTCGAGAGGTCCGCACCAGAGCCCGCTTTTCGGCCTGACGGGGCCGCGGTGACTCGCGGGAGGCGACTTTCGGAGGGCGCCGACTGTACACCTACACCTTACACCGATCCTGGCCAGGCCGACCTTTCAGCCCAGGATCAGTGTATACGCCGTCCTCCCCTGGCCAGGTGAGCGGATACACCGATGTTGGTTCCAGCGGTGGCCAGGCCAAGATTGGTGCAGGTGAAGAAGTTGGCGCCCTCCTAGCCTCCGGAATCGCTGTCTCCCCATTTCGCATTAGCCGGTTCTCGCTAACCGAGGCCGGGCCGCGCGGGCGCCCGGCGCCGCAGCCCCATGCGAGCATCCGGTGGCAACTCATGGGAGCCTCCCATACCATCTTGCTGGCTCTTGCGAGTCGACGCCAATCGACGTGAGTCCACGCTACAGCGACGCTGAAAATCGCTCATCGATGACAGATCGACGCTCATCAACGGCTATTCGGCGCGAAGGACGGAATAAAGAGGAGGAGGAGGAGGAGGAGGACGAGGAGGAGGAGGAGGACGAGGAGGAGGAGGAGGAGGAGGAGGAGGAGGAGGAGGAGGAGAGGGAGGAGGACGAGGAGCACGAGGAGGAGGAGGGGGAGGAGCAGGAGGAGGAGGAGGAGGAGGAGGAGGAGGAGGAGCAGGAGGAGGAGGAGGAGGAGGAGGAGGAGGAGGAGAGGGAGGGGGATCCGCGAGCCACAGGAGAAGCGGTGCCGCCACTCCCGATCGAGGCGCTTCGGCCGCCTCGCACGGGGGGCCTGGTACACCGCCTGAGGTGCCAGGACCCCCCGACCGCGAACTCGATGCAGTCGAGCTCACACGTGGACGGACTTATCAATGCCGTTCATGTCCGCGGGAGGGGGAAGGGGCGAGGGCCCTGCACGCGAAGCGGCGAGGCCGCCTACCACCCCCCCCCGCTGCTCCTCCCGCGGCCGGCCGCCCCGGGCCTTGGACCATCACCACGTGGACCACCACGCGCTCGACGGCCACCAGCCGCTCCGGAGCCCCCGCCACGCGCGCCGTCGGACGAGGCCGCCAACTCCTCGAGCTCGACGGCCATTGCGACCAGCACGCCGTGGTCGAAGGGGGCCGTCTCGGGAGCGGGAGGCAGCCCAGCGCGCTCCCGCAGGCGGACGACGAGGTTCCTCAGCTGCCACACCTCGAGGTGGCCAAGCTTGCCCTTGCCGCCGCTCTCGCCGCCCTTGCCCGCGTTCTTGCCCTTGCCCTCGCGCTGGTCTGTGCTGGCAGGCGGGCCACGAGCCTGCATCACCACGGGCAGCTCGTCGGCCCAAGCGTCGTCCTCCAGCATCGGCTGAGGCGGGGCGCCAGCCCCCGTGGCCACCTCGCCCGCCGACCCCTTGTCGATGTCCATGCCGTCAGCGACGATGTAGTGCTTGCCGTTCTCGTCCCCGCCCTTCGAGCCGCCGCGGCCGCGGGGCCGCCGCCTCCTGCGCGAGGAAGCCGCTGGATCCGCCAGGGGCGCCGCGACGAGCGCGGGGGAGGAGGGCGTGGCGAGCACAGCCACCGCCGTGCGCAGCAGGCCTTCGGCGGCGCGGATGAGGCGTACCGCCTCCCGCTGGCCGCTCGCAAGCCCAGCCGCCGCGTGCGTCGCCAGCACTGCGCCGCGCGCAGCGTCCAGCGTCGCCTTCGCGGAGCGGGCGTCGGTCGTCGGCGGCATCGGCGAGGCGGCGGGTCGGCGGGGCGACCCAGCGGCGGCGGCGCGTGAGCCAAAATGCCAACTAGGAGAGGGAGGGGGAGGAGGGGGAGGAGGAGGCGGAGGAGGAGGAAGAGAAGGAGCAGGAGAAGGAGGAGGGGGGAAGGGGGAGAGGAGGAGGAGGAGAAAGAGGAGGAGGAGGAGGAGGAGGAGGAGGAGGGGAGGAGGAGAAAAAGGGAGGCGGAGGAGGAGGGGGGAGGAGGGGAGGAAGGAGGAGGAGGAGGAGGAGGAGGAGGAGGGGAGGAGGAGAGGAGGAGGAGGAGGAGGAGGAGGAGGAGGACCAGTGTAAACCCAAGAGTCATCAACGATGTTGGAATGAACCCTCCATCCAGCTCCCTCTTGGTAGGCCCCTACAAAGGTTCGTTTCCACTGAGGGAACTGCCTCGTTGGAAGACATCCGTTCGAAGATCCTGAAGCGTGCCAGAAAATTGCTCTCGGGATTTCAACGCCACGTATCAATCAGACTGCTGCGTCTTGACGATCCGGAATCGTGCCAGAACGCCACCGTTGGGACTTCAACACCGCGAATCATCATAACTGCTGCGCCCGCATAATCCTGAATCCTTCCCGAATGCTATTCTGGTACGTTGATTATTGGAATCCGTGAAACTCTTGCAACTATTCAAAACGAATGTGCGCGGCGCGGAAGCGAGAACTGCATGTTGAAAAAGAACCGCCCTCAACCCGTGAAACTCTTGCAACATTGTAAAACGAATGCGCGCGGCGCTGGGGTGAGAGCCGCATTTTGAAAATGACCCGCCCTCAAACCGGGAATCTCTTGTAATGTCTTGAATAGAATGCGCGCGGCGCTAAAGCGAGAGCCACATCTTGGAAAGGAATCGCCCTCACTCCGTGAAGCTCTTGCAAATATTTGAAAGGAATGTGTGCGGCGTTAAGGCGATCGCCACATTTTGAAAACAAGCCGCCCTCAATCCGTGAAAGTCTTGCAAAGTTATAAAACGAATGCGCGCGGCGCTAAGGTGAGAGCCACATTCTGAAAACCACCCGCCCTCCACCTGTGAAACTGCTGCCACGAATTAAGCCTCAGAGTCATAAATAATGAGGAAGTCTCAGGCGAAACGCCCGGCCCGCACTAACAACTGGCCTGGGGGGTGCGACAGGGAGAAGTTATCTTTAATGAGAAGGAATGGAGGAGGAGGAAGAGGAGGAGGAGGGGGAGGAGGAGAAGGGAGAGGAGGAGGAGGAGAAGGAGGAGAAGGAGGAGAAGGAGGAGGAGGAGGAGGCCACGTCGAGGAAGGCATGCACGGCTCCCCAGATTTGCCCCCGAACGGCGCCGCGGCCCCGGGCGAGGGCGGCCCGGCGCAGGGCCCGAAGCAAGGCACACGAAGCGGCAGGGTCCACGGGGACGCCACCTCGCGCCGGGCCAGGCGGGCCTCCCGCGCGGGAGCGGGCCGCAGGCGGCCCAGCACGCGGAAGCGCGTGGCGCGGCCGCGGTCCCAGACGAGCTCGCGGCCCCTGCTGCGGGCAAGACCCCCTCGGGCCATGCAAAAAAATTGCGACAAGATCGGAGGAGGAAGAGGTACCCAGACCTCTACCCCCTCGCCCATGTTCCCCTTTCTGGGCCTCCTGGGAGGCCCTCGTCGCCACCGCTGGAGTCGCCTCGAAATCCTGGTCAGAACGCACCCCGGGAGAGGTCCAGGGGGCAGCGGTATCGGTACCGCTTGGTCTTCCCACGAAAGGTGTTTGTTCGCTATTGTCGGCCTCTGGGGGCCCTCGCCGGGCCTCGGGACCGTCAACAAACAACTCGGGGCGAAAAACCGGTCCTGGGGAAAGGGTCCAGACCGTCGGGGAGTCGACCTCTCGGCCCGTGGGTCGGAAGAAGTGGGTAAACACATGAAGTAGGAAGGCGGACCAAGCAGATCGGGCTCAGACCCTCCTGGAGGATAACAAGGCACAGCAAAAGCATAGATCGATTCTTGAAGCAGGAAAGCGCTAGAGCAGGAAAGCGTTTGAGGTAATTAGATTGGGATCTGCATTCAACGACGGGCCTGTATCCATGTCCACTGCGTCTAGGAGTTTCGGGCTCCCCTCACCAGGAGCCAGGGGCGCAGGGGGCGTGAGTACAAATCTGGCCCCCAGAGGCGAGATGACTGTCCACATCCACTGCGCCTCGGCCTTGTGGCGCCCCTTCCTAGGAGAAGTCCAAGACGCGGAGGATATGCGTAGTTATGGATCTTGCCCGCACCTGCGGCGCGGCACCACGAACTCGATGTCCCCGGCGGGCGGCTGGCCTGATCAGCACAGGGACGGGCGGGGCACGAGCACGTGGGGTGTGGAGGGCTGCTGGGGTGTGTGGGAGCCCGCGTGCCCACAGGGTGTGCATGGTTGTGGGGTATCTCCGGAAGTCGACTTACTCGTGTTACGAGGCTGCCTGGAACTCTTCGAGGGGCACGGCGAAGGCGCGAATCACTTTTACGGGAGGAGGGGGTCCCCTTCGTCTGCACCGAGCCTCTGCGCTTGCCGAAGCGCAGCTGCCGCACAGCGGGTCCGAGGAGGTCGAGCTCCAGGAACTCTGACTCGGAAAGGCCGTCTGGGTCCCATGCTACCTCCACCGAGTAGCCCTTGACGAGATCGAGCACGTCCACGACGCGGCACACGATGCGCAGGGACGCGTGGTCGGCCCCCAGGAAGCGCGGCATGCCGAGCTCCAGGAAGACCTCGGAGGCGGGCAGGTTCAGCAGCGCGCGACACGAGGGCTCGAACTCTGCGCGCCACTGGTCGCGGAGCTTCTGCTCGCGCCACCGCCTGGTGCCGCCAGGAACTGCTCCTGCGGCCGGCGAGGCCACAACGCCCTCGTCAGGCCGCCGCTCGGCCTGCGCCGCAGCTGCCACCTCGGTGGCCGCCAGCAGGCACTCGGCTGCAGCGAGGCACCCGGCAGCGGTCGCCACCTGCAAGGCAACGTGGCCCTCGTCGGTCCTCGCCAGCGCGTCGGCGCGCGCCTCCAGAAGCAGGGCCGCCACCGCCGAGTGGCCGCGCGCGGCCGCCAGGTGCAGCGGCGTGAGGCCGCCGCACATCCTGGACGCGGCCGCGGGGCTCCCCGCCCCGCGCGATGCCGAGAGCAGGGCGCCGCAGGTGCGGTGGAACCCGCCCTCGGCGGCCGCGTGCATCGGCGTGCGGCCCTGGCGGTCCGAGGCCGCCGGGTCGGCGCGCAGCTGGAGCAGCAGCGCCGTCGTCTCGCACAGGCCGGCCGCGGCCGCCCAGTGCAGCGGCGTGCCCCCGGCGGCGTCGCCGGCCAGCAGCAGCCCCGGGCAGCGGCCGGCCGCGGCCCAGCACGCCTCGAGGCAGCCGCAGCCCGCCGCGTAGTGCAGCGCGGAGGGCTCCGCAGAGGCCCTGGCCTGCTCCTCCCCGGGGGGGCGCCCGCTGCACGGCAGCACCGATCCCGGCCGCCGGGCCCAGGGCCCCACCCAGGCGGCCCAGGGGCGGCGCACGCGCCGCGACCTCTGGCGGCCCAGCGTGGGGCCCAGCGACGGGATCGGTGCTGTGGTGCAGGCGGGCGCCCCTCCCCATCCTCCAGCACCCTCACGTCGGCCCGCTCGGCCAGCGACACCGCCTCGGCCGCCGCCGCGGGGTACGCGGCGCGGAACTCCCGCGGGTCCCTGGCGGACAGGGAGTGCAGGTGGCGCAGCACCTCTCGGAGCCTCTCGGCCGACGAGCCTCCCGCGGCCGGGAGCGTGTCCTGCCTCGCCTCCCCTTGGGGGCGGAGGCCGGGGCTCGGCGCGTGCATGGCGCAGCGCCCGAGGAGAGCCGCGGCCCGGGGCCCGACCCCCCCCCCGCCCCCTGCCGCAGGGGCCGCGTGAGCCCGAAGGGCTGCAGACGTGGCGGGCGCACATGCGCCGAGAGCCAGCCCTGCACTCACAGCCCCGTGCACCGGCTGGCGCCGACCGCACCTGCAGGCAAGCCGGCGCCTCTGATGCCGACGGCCCCGGGAGGCACAAATAATTCCTTGCGGAGGCCAGCCCGCACCGAGCTGCCTCCAGACATCTGGGCGCCTCGAAGCGGCTGGCCTGCCGCTGTTCTGCCGGGGCCACCCCGCTGTGCGGTGAAAACATCACAGCGGAAGGTTTTCGCTATTTTCAGCCTCGGGGGGCCCTTAGCGGGCCTCGGGACCGTCAACAAAAAACTCAAGATGAAAAAAAACAGTCCCGGGAAGGGGTCGAGAGTCGACGTCACGAAAAAGTCATGCCCGCGGTGGTCTGAGCGTCGTGGCGGATCGACCGCGTGGCCTCGGGATCCCCGCATAACGACCTCACCGTGCACCCGTCCCCGCACCGGTGTTGGGGCCCTCGGAGGTCCCAGTCGCTCAAGACATCCTCGGAGAGCGGCTCGGGTTCCACAACCGCCCGGTCCCCACTGACTCACCACGCACCACGCGGTGTGGTCACCGCCCCGCGGGGCCCCCGACAGTTCCTCGGGCCGCGGGTCCGTCGACAAGCGCATTACGGATGAAGAGCCGGCCCCAGGAACGGGGTCGAGAGGACAGGGTCGAGGCAGCGGACGGTCTTTTCTCCAATTGGGCTCGGCACCACCAAAGAGAGGCCCAGATGAAAAACCGGCCACTGGTAAGGGGTCGAGGGCTCCAGTCTGGAGAGGGGTCCTCCTCCTCCTCCTCCTCCTCCTCCTCCTCCTCCTCCTCCTCCTCCTCCTCCTCCTCCTCCCCCTCTCCCCCTCCCCTCCTCCTCCCTCCTCCTCCTCCTCCTCCTCCCTCCCTCCTCCCCCTTCCTCCTCCTCCTCCCTCCTCCTCCTCCTCCTCCTCCTCCTGCTTCTCCTACTCCTCCGCGGGGAGGAGGGAGGGAGACGAGCCAGGAGGGTGGAGCGCTCTTTTGCCGTGGCTCCTTCATTCGTGGAAGCCCGCTTGAAAAAAATGTCCCCCGCGCAAGGGGGGTGCACAACTGAGGCTCGTTCAGGGGCCAGGTGCGCAAGGCGGGGTGCCCAACGAGGGTACTCAGCGCTTGCCCATAGAGGCGTCACGATTGGTCATGTGGTACTGCCTGGCCGGGGGCAGGTTGGCGAACGTCTTCAGCTCCGACTTCTCCATGTACTTGGCGTACAGCGTCTTCACCTTGTCCGTCTGCCCGTCCGCGGCGGCATCCAGGAGGTCCTCGGAGATCTCGGTCTGCCCGGCGAAGTCCTTCGGTTGGTTGCGCCAGTACGTGTTGAGCATCTTGAACTTGTTCTCCTTGGCCAGGACCGCCTTCATGTCGCCGGCATCGATGGCGCCCTGCAGCTTGATGATGGCGGGGGCGTACCTCTCTGGCGGCGCGCCGAAGGGGAGGAAGGCGAGGGCGGGCCGCCTTCGCAGAGGCCACCCTGCCTTCCCAGGCGCCCTCGCAGAAGCTTCTGATGGAGGGCAGGGCCCTGCTTGAGAAGGCCCCTGGCCTCTGCGCAGGCCGCTCCGTCACCCTGCCCCCTCTGCTCGCCATGCCTGTAGACACGATCCACGACTCGCAGGGTAACTACTCGCAAGTGGCCCCGTTCCGCCGCGGGATATTTACGAGATATGGCATCGAAGCAAACCACCATTTCTGTCGGACCTTTGCGAGTAGGCACTTGAGCCTGAATGTGAAAAGGTCAGGCGGGCAACGGGTCCTGGACCCGTCCTTCGGCTTTTGCCCGGGCCCCGAGCCGGGCCCCGAGAGCAGCGAGAAACCTCGGGCACCCACGTCCCTCATAGGCCCCCTTCTCCCCTCGGCTCCTCCCCTCTCTCTGACTACCTACCAGACCACCCCGACCCAACCCGAAGACCCGAATTTCAGGTGTGGGG